AAAAGGAACCTCGTTCGTTGCTTAGCGGATAGGGCAAGAAAGATCTGCAGTGTGGACACGTTTGGAGACGAGCTCCGTACTATAAAATCTATCTTTGCACCTAACGGGTTTTCGGAGCTTTTATTCAACAAGATAATTCAGTGTACGGAAAACTCTGTACAAACACCAAAGTTAGGAAAAACTCCGTGTTCATTTATTTTCCATTCAAAGGCGACACATAAACTGAGATCGTACAAAGAAAATTATCCGACGCAATCGGTGAGACTTTCTATGCATCCAAACTTCGTGTGTTGTTCACGTCCAAACCTATTGTGTGTTTATGACTGAAGGACAAAGTTCCAGACTCTGCGGTCTCATTCTGTGTATACTCATTTGCCGCACGGTCATCCGATTGTCCAAACGGATTCGTGAACACCACCCTACGTGGCTGAACATCGGAACGATTAAGTCACTCACCAGTGCAGTAGTTTCGCACCTATCTGAAATAAATCACACTGTTGACATGTCTGAAGCTTTCCGACCCCTGTTCGTGGGCGATTATTGAGGCAGGTTTGCTGTCATATGCTGGCTACAGCAGAAGCGGTGGGAATTGGTCCGCACAACCCCCTCTGTGTGCCCAAAACAATTTGTGCAAGCGCTAAGGCTTCCCTGGCCAACCTCACACGCATGCCCTTTCACGAGTAATCTAGATGAGTGGATGAGTGGACAAACAAATCTATGATCATGGTGAGCCCGATTTCTGGTCTCACGATGAAATTGTTTCTAGTAATCTGTAATTTTACTTTGTTTTATTTACCCAAGATAGTTTTATTCCCAAGTAATGATATATGTTGAGATGTATTAGCATGAACACGAATCTCTGAAAACGAGCTTGTCCGCACTCTCTTGTTCTGTTTGAACTTTGCATCAGTAAGATGAACTAGGAAAGTCATTGGCGATTTCACACAATGTGTGCAAGTTACTTTGATGGAATGAAACAATTCCTAAGATTATTGAGGTTTAAATTTAATTTTATAAGACAAAAACATGGAATGTTCCCACACTGTTTGTGGGGATGAACTAGCTGGAGGGTTTTCCGTGTCCTCCGTTCGCTGAGCAAAATGTCGTCAGCTGTAGGTATCCTTTTATTTGCTCTGTTTATTGTAACAGCTGAATAAATTCCCACCCATTAGGGTTGAACAACGTACTCGTCATAGCTTTGTGGCCGATCTGGAGAAAAAAGCCAGTAGGGCACTGGATGTCACTGTTCTGTACGAAAGACACGTTGATAATCGCCCAAAGTGCCAGATAGACTGAGAAACTGTTAGCTGAATTGAGTTTACGTCAAAAGGACATACAATTCAATATGGAAACCGAGAAAAACATCAATCCCCTTAATGGATATTGTTATTATCGAAGACCGGAGGGACTATTTCGAGGTCTGTACATTGAAAGTCTACCTGGACTGGTCACTATATGCATTTTGGGAGTTGCGCTCTAATCCAGCACATAAGAGGTTTCGTGCGTGCACTGTTTGACCGAGATTGGAGCCTATTCACTTCAGATAATGTGAAAAGTGAGCTAATTCGGCTCACGGAAGCTCGGAAGCTCAATGGCTACCCAGCAAAGTTCATAGAATTGTACAGCAGAAAAGCCGAGCCGAAACCCTCGGAGATGATAGTACCAAAATGCGAAGTCACCATTCAACTCCCTTCCAAAGGTGATGATGTAGGCCAACTCATACGAAGACGGCTGGTGGCGACTGTAGCTCGCACGTATTTTGCTGCAAATCTGGTCGTTAGCTTCTCAACAACCCAGATTTCGGAGCCCTTGGTGAAATCGCTGCTCCCTCTGTTCGCTAAATTGCATGTAATCTAAGATTTTCATTGTGAGTGCTGAGCCACCTACGTAGGAACAACAGAGAGGCAACTGCGCACCCGAGTGGCCGAACACATCCCGTATGGGTCGAACGCGAGCGGGTAGAATTGAGTGCTACACAAACAACCAGGCAATCTAGCCAGTCTCATAGAGCACCTGCATCATCAATTGATCGCCATCTGCTGCAGACTTGGTCTTCATTTCACATTTTTTACACAACCCCGAATGGACGGCTGCTAAGATTTGCAAAGATCATAGCAATCAAGCACCGAAAACCCCTATCGTGTCAGTAGAAGGAGGTCTACATCTGTCTGACGTTGCCCTGGTGATCACGTAAGCGAAAGAATGAACAGATACCATGTTAGATTGTCATCACCTGTGATAAATAAACTATTTTTTATTTCTGCACTAAGTAGCAGTTGAGATGAAGTGAAATGGTTCCGGAATCGCATCGTGCTCGCTTGCAGGGCTTTGTGTTCTTTGTTCAAGTTCATTTCGGGAAATAATTGGTTCAAAGCTTTGTGTGTTAAGTGTTCTCAAGGAACTTGGATGCCATACCAATGAATGTTCGAAATATGCGTATTCAATTACTGAGTTGATACTAAACGGGTACTAAATTCATTTCATTGTGCAAAGGATGAAACAAGACGTATTCCGAGATTCTGACAAATTTCAGTGAAAATCGGGGAAATAGTGTACGACTGATGAATCACTGAAATACAGCGAAAACGTTTCGTCGTTTGCCATGTTTGCAAAATTCAAACAGCTGTCCGTGTCACTAATACAAGCAAATGCGATTGGTTTTAATCCGTATTAAACTCACAATTACTTGTGAGTAGTGGTGCGGGATAATTGAAATTCATTGATTTGAGCTGACTATCCTTCGGACTTCAAATTCAGGCACAATCCTCAGTTCATCGATTCAATCATACACTCGAAAACACTAGACTATTCGAGTTCCGTTCTTAACAGAGTAGTGCATATCCACTGCCTCTTCCAGGATTTGAGCTCCGAACCCAGCGCATGGAAGGCGTGTGTGTTACCACCTTGGCAACCAGCTCAGACCATGGCTGAACTGAATTGCTAATTCGGGTTCGTTCCAATGGTCATCTTCAGTGATAGTCAGCCAATTCATTTGGCCCGACAACAAAAAAGGGAGATACAAATGACAACCTGTTAACTCCAATCGAAAGCCTCCCACCAAGTCAGGACCTCCATGCAGGTTACGGGCTGATTGATTATTCGCATTTAAGTCACAATTACTTGCGAGCAAACATGAATTGGCAATTTGGTTCAGCAATGGTATGAGCCGGTTGGCACAGTGCTAACGCACACCCGTTCCGTGCGATGGGTCCAAAGTTCAAATCCCGGACGGGATGGTAAATATGCACTACAAATGGTTAGCTCTAATAAGAGTGAAACTCGAGTAGTCTAGTGCTTCCGAGTATAATTGAATCGATGAACTGAGGATTTTGCGTGAAGATGAAGTTCGAAGGATGATCAGGTCAAATCAATAAATTCTTTCTAATGTTAACCTAATTAAACAGTAAGAAGTATTATCAGGTTCTCCCAGGAAGAATGCTTTTGGTGAGAAAATGTCATATAATCAAATGGTGAGAGGAAGTCACATGTTTTACTAGCACATCCGAGTGAAGTGGTCTGAGAAATCTGTTCCCACAACCATAACAAAGGGATGAAAAAATTTGCAATTTTGTCTATAAGTTTCAATAAAAAAGAATTGAAACATCAATATAATTCAAAGCACTAGGCAATAGAAAATCAATTGGTTAATTTCACTGTCACTTAGTTTTCGAGATTGATATGCACATCTTTAATATCAATGAAGGTGAAGGTGAGATTTTGGTCAAGTACCGCGCAAATGAAGCTTTGAACAAAAAGCTAGTCAATACTGTCCACAACCGGAGGGATCTCATCAGCAGAGATGCGCGGAGCGACCTCGAGAAGATTCTGTGCGCCATATCATGTAAAGGCTAAATGGAAAACCATAAAATCAATCACCAACCAGGGTGGTCCCGAATTCGATGCCTGGCTAGATGAGCGGATATGCACCGATAACGTCACCCGACCGGATTGAGACATTTTAGTTTACGCATATAGGCTGCGTACACGATTAACGACAATATACAAAATGCAGCTATTTCACCAATTCACCAATCGAGTTCCCGTTCATGAAAAAACAACCTTTGTATTATGTCAAACATTTGCGGTTCTACGAATACCATCCAGATAGGGTATAGTGATACGGAATTCAGTGAATGTAACGTTTCGGTTGACGTTAGTTGCGTCTCCAATTTGTATTAAAGAGAGGAAAGAGCACTCCGATTTAAATGTCCCGTCCCTCTAGAAGTATTCCACAAACATGTGCATCATCTGCAATGCATACGTTTGTGAACCGTTATATTTTGAAGGTGGAGCGACTTGTATTTCTATGGATTAATTGATTTTCTGGGACGATTCATTTAGGCTGCACGACAATACTTGACACATGTGTTGTAATTTGTTTTCCTTCATTCACAAAGAGCCAAATAAACTACGAAGTTCAGTCCAAAAAAGTAGCCCATCGGAAGAAAACATTTTGTTCAGTTTGGGGGAACATTCGAACAAGAAACGGCCAAATTAAACATGCTCCCACAGGAACATGTAACACTTGTGGTGAAGATTGCATGCGTCTCGAGAAGCTCGGCGAACAAGCAAAATAGAATTCCGTTCCTATGAACAGATTTTTATTATTTTTTATTCAATTGTCTCTGGTGTGTGCATATGTGGTTCTTGTTTGACCCTTATTCTATGTAAACGGATCAGTGCCACAGTCCACACAATACTTCAATGACTTGCTGCAGCTCAATGGAACAGGCTGAGTAGAAAAAAGACCCAGAAAGTTGGTTTATCTTTAACCGTGAGTTCTGACCTAAACAGGAAGTTTTTGTTTGAAACATTTCAGCCACATTTACACGAAAAACAATGTCTAACCGTTGGAAGGAAAAACGTGTGTACTTCAAAATGAGGTCTAACCTAGATAAATAACTTAGATAAATAACCTGAAAAGAGAGAGTGATTTTTCCCCTGAAAAGTGCGATCTTTGTCTCAGTGTTTGTGAATTATTCCCGAATCAGCTCATTGTTTTAGTCCAGACCAGTCCAGTTACACTTACCGACCATTGGATTAATCACCCCCGTCGGTCTGCAATCAAAAGACACATGTGGGCCGGAGAATGTGGTTTGCTTTACCGGAGCTCTCCTAATTGGGATGATTGGGGATTCAACTCGCTCGGGGTCTGCCGTTGGTCCTGTGGTATTTGCTGATGTTCTGGTGTTGGGACGAACTTGGGCCAGTGGGGGGAGCGGAGCGACTGCAGGCAATGCACGGCGTGGACTTGGTGATCCCACAGGTCCGTCTAAAACTTGATCCAATGTGAGTGGCTTCACTTGGGTGACAGACGTTGAAGTGACCGTTGTCATACTGAAATAATCCGCCAGACAACCAAGAGCGGAGTGCAATGGATTGATTCAATGGAATCATGAGCGACTGTAATGAGTACAACAGTTCCGAGTCATGTTTTACAGTTTTTATTGTGGTAAAGATCAAAAATAGGAACAACGTTCAACCCGCGTTCAAATCTGGCCTTGTGACCCCGAAGACTTGATGCACAAATATATAATCCTTCAACAAACTGACTTAGCAATAAAGTAGAGAGACATTAACTTTCATGCATTCACATACGATGGAAATGCTTATCATAAGCGACAAAGAGCACTGGACAGCTGTTTCGTCCTGTTTGGGCCTCGTCAACAGTGTGTAACATTTGTGTCCCTGCCAGGACTCGAACCGCGAACGTCTGGGTTGAGACTTCAAACCCTTACCCCTGAGCTACACGACCGACGGTCATCACTTTTTGCGAATGGCTCAATCAAGAGTGCCTAGTGTATCTTAACGATTGAATGGGCTAATCCAAGCTTGCTACTCTAGACATCAACTACTTTTGTAGTGCATTTTGTTGAAAAAATATGAGTTAGTTTAACTACAAATTTGCTAGATATTTTTTGCCTTGGATAGCCTATCAATGTAAATGCAAAACACTGCTACCCATAGCTGCCGATGAGGATGAATTCCGTGTGAATTTGTCGGAACATTGTATTTTTGTGCAAAACACTTGGTCGGTTGCACTGTAGAACTTTCCGCACACACACATACGCACATGGGCTGTGTCAATCCTGGCTGGAATTTACGCATCCCCAGTGGGAATTTAAGTGCACCCCGAACAAAAGCATCAAAACCGTTCGTGTGACTTTCCAAAAGGCCTATTTGCTTGGAGGAAACCCAAATGGGAAGTAAAAAAGGGTCTTCACCCACCTCAGGGGAATTATTCACACGCAGACTGAAGACCATCCCACTGCATTCCCATATGCTGTTTTGTCACAAACCAACTTGCCATTAGTGACCAGACTGACTACTACTGTAATGTAATGTGATGCCAGGTTAGAAATGACCGATGCGATCAAGCAGATCGTAACTCTCAATTACAGCGACGGCTACTAGGAAAAAACCCAACCAA